AAGCTATGATTTTTCCAATAGTCATGTATGGATGTGAGAGTTGGACTATAAAGAAAGCTGAGTGCTAAAGAATTGATGCTTTTGAACTGTGATGTTGGAAAAGACTCTTGAGAGTCCCTTGGACTGCAAGGAGATCAAACCAGTCCATCCTAAGGGAAATCAGTCCTGAATGTTCATTGGAAGTACTGATGCTGAGGCTGAAACTCCAATACTTTGACCACCTGAGGTGAAGAGCTGACTCATTGGAAAAAACTCTGATGCTGGGGAAAATTGAGGGTGGGAGGAGAAGGAGGAGGCAGAGTATGAGATGGTTGGATATCATCACTCAGTGGACATGAATTTGAGCAAACTCTGGGAGATAGTGAAGGAGCCTGGCATACTGTAGTTCATGGGTTGCAAAAAGTTGGATAGGACTTGGCAACTGAACAACAACAGCCCTCTCTTAAAACAATAAGGGGTGCATTGCTAAAAACATTAGTAAATTGAAAAACTCATTCTCTAGACCACAGTTGATAGTTCACAGTGAGATTCCCACATATATTTTTACTCATTATGTCAATAGACCTATATTAAACACTTAAGGCCCCTTTGTCCATGGAATTTTCCAAGCAAGAATACTGGAGTGGGTTGCTATTTTCTACTCTAGGGGGTCTTCCCAACCCAGCTATCGAACCCAAGTCTCTTTTGTCTCCTGTATTGGCAAGCAGGTGCCACGTAGGAAGCCCCTATATCAGATAGAGTCCTGAATTTAAAAAGATAAACCCCTTCTTTCAGAACCCAAAGACTAGTGAGAAAAAACAGGCATATGTATGAACAACCAGAATACAGTGTGGTCTGTGTCAGAAATGTACACGTAGTGTTCTGGAAACTCATAGAAAGAAATTTTCAATTGGAGTAAATGGGATGGGAAGGTCTCTTCACAGAGGAAATCAGAATTGAACTGAGTTTACCAGGTGGACCAGGATCAAAGGAGCGTTTGAGACAGAAGGATCAAGTACAGTGTTTCAAGTTACTCTAAGGTAGATAGGCCACCCGTGCGCTGACACCTAGAGGACACGTAAGAAAGCAGCTCAGTGGGACCAGCAGATGAGGCCGGGCTGTACAGGGCCCGTGGGCCCCCGCGTGAGCTGAAAACGTAATGTCACTGGGGGCTGCTGGTCAGGTTAGTGTCCTTTCTTCCTCCACTCTTTCCTTCCTTTCTGTTTTTCCTTTGCCATTCCCTTTGGTTTCCTCTTTTTCCCTCTGCCTGTAATTATGCATTAAATCCCTAGATGTTCATGGATGTTCTTTAGTCCTGTTCTTCGTACTTAAGACACAGTTCATTGGTAACTCTCATCCAGAGGTTTATTTTTGAAGTTAACGTAACATTTTCCTTGAGGGGCCCAAGTGACCCAGGGATAATAATTTTAACAGTGTTCTCACTAAAAATATTAGTTCCACTAGAGGGAAAAAATAATAAGCGGACACAAAGTAGACTGCTTTGCTTTTATAAATAAATTTTAAGTAAAAGTAAATTGAATTCTTACAAGTTTCAGGTAGCCTCAGCGTTTGATCTTTGTCTTTCTTCCAGTTAAAGAGTAGTGTTTTCTGATCTTACTCTGTTGATTACAAGCTTAAGTAATTATTTGGCATTGGGTAGCCTTAAGATGGTAATATAGACCCATATAGATACATGTGAAGCATGAAGTAATTCCTGTTAATTCTTTACAGTTCTCCTAGTATCTAAGGAAAACATACAGTTACTCTGTGACCTTTGACATGGTTATTTAACTTGCCTCATAGGTTATAACTCGAAATGAACTCATGCTGGAAGAGACTAGAAACACCATTACAGTTCCAGCCTCTTTCATGTTGAGGATGTTGGCTTCACTGAACCATATTCGAGCTGGTAAGAACTGTCAGTGTGCTATTAAAATCATTATTATATTTGAAAAAAACATTATTTAAGATTGACATTAAAGGGATTTATATTTAAGGGAGAAAAAAGGGATTTTCCTGACAGTCCAGTGGCTGGCACTTGCACTCCCACTGCAAGGGGCAGGGCTTTGATACCTGGTTGGGAAACTTAGGATCCCACACGATGCAGCCAGAAAATAAAGAGATTTTATTAATTTCCTTAAATTACAAAATCAAGGCCAAATTTTTTTTGGCCTTAACTTTTTAACTTGTTTTTTTTAAATACAAGAAATTTCTTTCTTGCTGGCATTAGGTCTTCTCAGACTACATAGAAGGCAGCTTAACTTTTGAACTGAGTGGTATGAATTCTTGATCTTAGTACAGTAATTTGTATCCCCATGAGCCAACTTTATTGAATTGTCATAATAAAAAGATGACATCACTTCAGAACTTTATCAGCTGTGGTTTTCTTCTCAGAGTGGAATATCATACCATAAACCTTAAGATGTGTTATAGTAAGTACCTTTTAGTGATACATTTGGCCAAAATCAATCACAGCCCAGATAAAAATAAATGTATTACTACAAAGATTTAAAACAACAGCTCAATGTATTTTTCAAATTTTTGTTTGTTTTAGATGATAAACCATGGGGTTCAGTGCTTCAGACACAAAACTTCACATTACAATTAATTACATTATATTACAACTTAATTTTCAAGAAGGAATGGAATAACGTGTGTTCATAACAATAGAAAGTATCCAGTTCGATTATAAACAAAATGTTTATCACTTCATTGATAACACAAGTTTCTTTATATGTTGAGTATTATTTAATAACAACAACCATGTATAGAGTACCTTTAATGAATCAGGCAGCATACCAATCATTTCACAAATGTATCCTCAGTTAGCTCCTGCCCTCTACATAGTAGATTATTTTTGATAACTCACTCCAGGTCACACAACTGATAAACGGTAAAGCCTGAATTTGAAACTAGTTTCCAAGCACTCACTCCCCTTTTACTACAAATTTCAGTTACAGGAACATGTATTCAAGTCATGAATAAGACATGCAGTCCTCTGGATGACCTGATTTCAAACTACTTTTCTTACTGCTTTTCTGCTCCATTCTTTCCTTCTCTGTCCTCTCTATTCTCTGTGCTGCTGCTGCCAAGTCGCTTCAGTCGTGTCCGACTCTGTGCGACCCCATAGACAGCAGCCCACCAGGCTCCGCCGTCCCTGGGATTCTCCAGGCAAGAACACTGGAGTGGGTTGCCATTTCCCTCTCCATCCTCTCTGGCCCTCTCTAAATGTGTGGGTACCTCAAACTCTTTCCTACCTCAGAAGCTTTACAGTCATGCTGTCCCCTCCCACCCTCACTCTTTGTTAGGATAACTTCTGTCCTAGGTTCGATCCCTGGGTTGGGAAGATCCTCTGGAGAAGGGAATGGGCTACCCGCTGTAGTATTTTGGCCTGTAGAATTCCATGGACAGAAGAGCCTGGTGGGCTACAGTCCGTGGGGTCACAGAGAGTTGGACACGACTGAGTGACTTTCACTTTCACCTTTCTGTTTCAGACCTTCAGGTCTATATAAACGTCAGATTGCATATCATTTCCTCAGAGAGTGGGGAAGGGAGACATTAAGTATTCCTGGCAGAAAAAAAGAGTATATAGCATTTGTCTTAAGTCCTGGAAGATTATGGTACATCTAAGAATTGAAAGAAGCTCCTTATGTCTGTAATTAAAGGAGCTGGAAAGAAAACCCTCAAATTGTCAATATCAACTATTACAAGGAAAGAATAAAAATTTAAAATGGTCAAAGCAAAACAAAAAATAAACCTAAAATGAAAATAGAAAATGTTTGCAGTCCAACAGAATATTATCATAGTACTTCTTTTGGCCCCCATGTTATTCACTATGACATCTTTTGATCTGTTTTCTTCAATAAGAATAAGTAACTCTTAAAATTCACTTGACCTCAGATTTGAGGAGGCACCATTTTATAGAACAGGAAAAACATTTGCTGATTATGATAAATAAATTTGCTTGTTCATATGAAGAGTTCATCTGGTGAATGGCTCTTTCTGAGTTTGCCTGTAGGAAACTTTCTCCTTTCATTTGTGCAAGAATCTATTTTAAATGGGTACTGATGTATCAATGGTTTGTTAACTCAGTTATTACTATCTTTCTTTGATTTTAGAATTAGATGCTTATAATGTAAAGTTCCCTTTCTTCTATTGTTTTTTTTTTTTTTTTTGCCAGCAATCAAAGGGAGACACTTTGTAGTTGGCTTAGTCAACCTAACTCACCCTCTTGTTTCTCTTAGGTAAAATCCTTGATATGAAAAGGTAACCAAGAGTTGATATTTCTGCTGCTTTTATTCTTTTTTTTTGGGGGGGGGCAATACAAAAGTTTATTTAACAAAAAAGTTCAGTAAGAAAATGTACACAACCCAATTTTTCTGGTAGTAAAATGTGGAGAAGGGGACACACGGAAGCAGTTGATTTCTCTGATGAACAAAGATGTTGTTCATACTCGTTCCAAGGCTTCTAACATGATGATACTATTTCCTCGTATTACCACCATTCCAATATTGTTCTATTGCCCACTAGTTGCCATCTCCACACATTCATCTATCACAAGATTCATAAAGGGATCAAATCCCCGCAATATTCCTTGGACATGTCTGCCACCATTTAATTTCAATGATAACTTCTTGTCCATAAATTTCTTCAACTCGGGAGGGTGTGCTTTGCTCATGATGTCTACTCTGCGAGCTCAAAGAAGCCTCCAAACGGAATTCGAGCGGTCCCTCCTGCTTTTATTCTTAAGATATCTAGTTATTTGATGAATCAGCTACTCCTTTGCTCTCCTTTTCTTCATTGTCCTGTATTCCAAGTACAATGATGTCTGTATATTCAAGGACAGTTTCTAACAGACTTTGATTGTGGAAGCACAAGCTAGCCACAGAATACTTCAGCCATTCCATTACCCCACAGGCTTCCTGGGAAGTCAGCTCCATCCTGCTGTAGATGTGATTTTTAATGAAGAGTGCTTTAAATCTTTTCAAAACTACAAATACTGGTTCCTGCGCACTAAAGATCCTGATTCATTTTATCTGAATAGGATTTGAGCTTCTGCATTTTAAAAAAGCACCCAAAATTATTCTCATGAATGCTGTACTAAAGACATTTAGTTTAGGCAACTTCATGAGAGATAAAGGCAGTTTTGAGATTCCTAGAAGCTTTGACAGGCTTTGGAGAGATGGTGTGTGAAGCATTCCAAACTCTTCTAGAATATGTTACAATCTACTCAGTTTACTCCCCTCTTTAAAATTCTCCTGTGCCTGCCCATGCTCTTAGGATAAAGTCCCAAGTGTTAACATGGTTTCTAAAACCCTGAAGCATTCATTCATACCTCTGGAACATGGCACGTGTAGATCTAGATAGCCGTATCTGTAGGACTAGCGTCACACTGGATGTGCAGGCGCTTACCCAGTCATGTACAGACTCACTCCATTGGTCAGGGTAGCTTTACTCCACAATACAATCCATATTCATGTATCGTGATCTCCCCACTTCTGCTCTCACCTTCATATAGTCTGATTCCATAGCAGTAAGAGGAGGCTTTTTAAAAATGTGGGTCAGTGGGAGGCTAATTACTTTACAATATTGTAGTGGTTTTTGTCATACATTGACATGAATGAGCCATGGATTTACATGTGTTCCCCATCCCGATCCCCCCTCCCACCTCCCTCTCCACCCCATCCCTCTGGGTCTTCCCAGTGCACCAGGCCCGAGCACTTGTCTCATGCATCCAGCCTGGGCTGGTGATCTGTTTCACCCTAGATAATATACATGTTTCGATGCTGTTCTCTCGAAACATCCCACCCTCGCCTTCTCCCACAGAGTCCAAAAGTCTGTTCTGTACGTCTGTGTCTCTTTTTCTGTTTTTCTATGATCCAAAGGATGTTGGCAATTTGATCTCTGGTTCCTCTGCCTTTTCTAAATCCAGCTTGAACATCTGGAAGTTCATAGTTCACGTACTGTTGAAGCCTAGCTTAGAGAATTTTGAGCATTATTTTGGTAGCGTGTGAGATGAGTGCAATTGTGTGGTAGTTTGAACATTCTTTGGCATTGCCTTTCTTTGAGATTGGAATGAAAACTGACCTTTTCCAGTTTTGTGGCCACTGCTGAGTTTTCCCAATTTGCTGGCATATTGAGTGCAGCACTTCTACAGCATCATCTTTTAGGATTTGAAATATCTTTACTGGAATTCCATCACCTCCACTAGCTTTGTTCTTATCGATGCTTCCTAAGGACCCCTTGACTTCACACTCCAGGATGTCTGGGTCTAGGTGAGTGATCACACCATCGTGGTTATCTGGGTCATGGAGATCTCTTTTGTATAGTTCTGTGTATTCTTGCCAGCTCTTAATGTCTTCTGCTTCTGTTAGGTCCATGTAATTTCTGTCCTTTATTGAGCCCATCTTTGCATGAAATGTTCCTTTGGTATCGCTAATTTTTTTGAAGAGATCTCTAGTCTTTCCCATTCTATTGTTTTCCTCTATTTCTTTGCATTGATCACTGAGGAAGGCTTTCTTATCCCTCCTTGCTTGTGGGTTAGTAAACCTTTTCTTTAAAAGGCCAGAAAGTAAATAGGCTTTGTGGGCCATGTGGTTTCTGTTGCAGCTGCTCATTTCTGACACTGTGTTGCAAAAGCAGCCATAGATAATATGTAGATCAAGGGCATGGCTGTGCCCTAATACTACTTTATTTACAAAAATGGGCTCAGGGAGGGTTTTCCCAGGGGCCATAGTTTGCTGACTCCCTTTTTTAAGAAGTACATTAGGTTATGTCACCCTTGCTTAAAATTCTCAGGGGCTTCCCACTGCTCATAAAATAAAACCTAGACTTCATACTCTGGTCTACAAGAGATAGACCTGCCAGCCACTGAGTCGACGCATTCGTTTTCTGCTCGTTCACTACATTTTAACCAAAAGTGACTGCTTTCCTCCTCAGACTCATAAAGCTTATTAGCATATTTAGGACCTTTTCACTGGCTGTTTCTCTGCCTTTTAGGCAGCTTTGTTTGCCATCTTCACCAATAACTGAACATACAATTGAGCCTCAGGTCCAGTGTCACCTCCTTAGAGAAGTGTTCCCTCGTCACTCTGTGAAGTTGCTTAATATGCACACCCTCCTCATCACTCACTCTCTGGTCATTGCCTCTTTTTCCTCAAGTACTTATTCTAACTTCATTTATTTGTTGCTTTGTTACACAGATTAAAGGAGAAAAATACATTGTCTTGTTTTCTGTTTTTCTTTTCTAGAAAGTGAGTTCATTAAGACCAGAGACCTAGTTTGTCTCTTTCACATCTGGGTAGCTAGTTCCTAGAACAGCAGTGCCTAGCACATAATAGTTGCCCAGTCAGTGTTTTGTGAATGAATGGGTGAGTGAATGAATAAACTTCTAGCATCAAATCTCTAGCTAATCAGGAGTACTGTATTGATTCTTTGTGGAATACAGGTTTCCTTCGGGTAATTGTTTTCACATCTCTGTTGTCCCCTCTCCAGCCCCAGCCAGCTTATTAATAGTATCTCATATTTTTCCTGATCAAAAATAATTTCAGAAGTATTTCTAAAAGAGAATTAAAGGAGCCTTCCCACAAACGTAACCCTTATTTACAATAGCAACTTGGTGCTGTCTTGCTTTTGAAAACAGTGGCTTTCTAAGTCATTATTTCTAGTTCTCATTTTAAAGAACACAGTGTTCTCAGCCCTCCTTGGCCTGCAATTGCCAACCAGAGATTTGTGAAAGTGTTCAACTGCTTTGCAGTTTTATTACCTCAGTAGTACTCTGTGGACAAAAATATTTTATTTAATTTTGTTCTTAAAAATTGGGTTTATATTCTGAGAGAGATGACTCTGCAGAAGTTGTGTGAGAAATATCTGAAAAAAGAACCACCATTCTGCCCTCTTCCTCATTCCAGAAGCCACTGTCAGTTACTTTGTGACCTATATAAGAGACCCTAGGCCCTCACTCACTCGACTTCATGTTGCTTGCTTTGGACTTTGCTGTAAACTCCCTGATTTCAAGGCTGTGACATTTCTTCTTAACCCTCCATTTCCCCATCTTCATTCATAATGTGACAACCAAAAAGAACTGGGTCATCCTGCACATTTTAAAATATGTGGATGCGATTTAAACATGTTCCACTAAGATGACAGGCATCTTACTTAATGATACTCTAGGTAAGCAGAACAGCAAATTCATGTTTTGTTCTCTCCCATGAAAGTATATCACACAATAAATATGGCATAATCTCTTTTATACTCACATCCCTTAGGTAACTTATTATTGATCAGAAAGTCTTCCACTGTATTTAGATTCCTTAGTGACCTGTGAAGATTTATTATAATCTTATTTTATCTTACAAATGTATATTGAACACTTTTACATAATAACTAAAACTTGTATAACTCAGGTTACAAATCATATACACATATATTATCTCCTTAGGTTGACACTGAAATGGAGTTGGTGCTGGACAATTAAACATACATCCCTTCTGTATACTGGTGTTGACAATTTAGAATTCACTGGGAGTATTTAAACCCCTGTGGATAATAAAATCTCAGGATTCCATCTTCTCTTGGTGTTGAGAAGCCTGAATTATTTCCACTGCGTCTAACCTTTACCCCTCCCAGTTTCCTGGAGAAGTGTTTCTATGATAGAAAGGGTTCCATCCTAGTGGCAGTAGTGATTTGATACTTTATACACCCTAATGTAATATATCTTGTCTTAGTAAAACTTATATTCATTTATTTGATAAACCTTCACTGAACCTCTTGTACTAGGCCCTGAGGATAAAAGATAAAAAGAAATAACTCCTACCCTCCCAGGAGCTCAGTCTGCAAGAAGATGTGAAAATAGACTAGTACTGTAATTAGAATCATCATCATATGGTACATATAAAATATTCTGGAACCTGAAGGAAGGAGTTCATAATTCTGCAAGTTGGGTATCTGAGAAAGTCTGGGGAAAGTTTCACAAAGGGAAAAATAGTTGTATTGAGTAAGCATAACCTTTATAGCCGAAGAACTAGGTGAAAGTGTCCCAAGCAGAGGGACAGCAAATGTGACGCGTGGAACTTGAGAGGACTCGCCATGCTGGCTCACCAGGCTGTAACTGTACACTCCCTTGAGTGTTCAACCTAGATAAGCTCCTTGAGGGCAGAGAAGACACTGTGACTGCTTTGGTCACCACTGTATCCTGGAACATAGCAGATATTTAAGAAATATTTTTATAACCAGAAATATGTGTGTTATGTGCTAAGTCGCTTCAGTCGTGTCTAACTCTGCAGCCCGCCAGGCTCCTGTCCATGGGATTCTCCAGGCAGAAATACTGGAGTGGCTTGCCATTTCCCTCTCCAGGGGATCTTCCTGACCCAGGGATTGAACCCGGGCCTCCTGCATTGCAGACAGATTCTTTACCATCTGAGCCAACTAGGGAGTGATTGCCAGATATCTTGCACAGCTTCCCTCTCACTCCCTTTGGTGACACCTGATATAACTCCTAGGGCTCCTAGACTCCAAGGAACAGAGTTTGAAATCATTGCAGTAGACCACAATAGATCAAGATTTATTTTTTACTTTGTAATTTTTTTAATCTTTAGAATTACATGAATATTCTAAGTTAATAGTGCTGTTTCCTTTATATTCTTTGCCTCTAGAGGCAAAAATAACTTCTACACATAGCTGTGAGCTGATTTTTACATGATGATATTTTGAATTATACACATTTTAATCAGTTTTAAGGCATTGACAGTTATTTTGATTGTAATACTAAAGGTGTTTTTTTGTTTTTTTATCTTCTGTGTTTTCCAGACCGGTTGGAGAGTGACAGATCAGAAGGCTCTGGTCAGGAGAATGAAAATGAGGATGAAGAATAATCAATTCCTACTGGCAAGCACTTAGATGTTCTGAAATTTGTATAAGACATTTATTATATATTTTTTTTCTTTACAGAGCTTTAGTGCAATTTTAAGGTTGTGGTTTTTTTGAGTTTTTTCCCTTTGGGGGGGATAACCTAACATTGGTTTGGAATGATTGCGTGCATGAATTTGGGAGTGTGTGTAAAACAAAACTAGCAAAATGTTTTTAAAACTTTTTGCCATGTGTGAGGAGTGCTAGAAAGTGCAAAGTGCAATATTTTCCCTAACCTTCAGATGTGGGAGCTTGGATCAATGTTGAAGAGGAATTTTCATTATAGTGAAAATATTGGTTCAAAGAAATGTCTGTACTTGCCATTTGCATGTTTATTGCTTTCTAATTAAAGAAGTTGGTTGTTTTATGATATCCTGAATTTGACTTTTTATTTAATGCCTTGCTATCTTGACCCATTTTCTAAATCTCTTCTAGATTTAATAACCTTTTCTGTTTTGACTTCTCTTTGACCCTTTTTTCATTTCTCCTTCCAAAGTGCTTCATCTCTAACGACCATCTTTCATGATTAGTGGTGCCTCATTACCCAAGTACAGGGTTAGTCCCATGCAATCTCAGAGCATCGTGGATACTCACGTAACGTATCAACACAAGTTTGTTCTGAAGGCTTCTGGCCTTCCTGTCTCCACCTTCTAGATTTCAGCTGAAAATGTTGACCATCCAGTCTCCTAATTCCTGGTCCTGCTCCTCACTGGTGTCCACCTGCACCCGACTTAAGCATCTACACTCCGGTCTATCTTACAGGTTCCTGTAGACTTAGCACTTCGGCAATTCTGTCTCCTGTCCCCTAAACTGTCATGCTGCTTTCTCTGACTGAGCCACAAGTAGACTCACAGGTGTGGCCAGATTCCCATGGGAGATCAGGAATGGTTCCTCCCAGATGACTGCGGGCCCAGGGACACGTTGCTAAGAGAAGACAGATGGCTTTTGGATAGAGGGGAAAACTATAGTTGGCTCAGGAACTTCAGTTGGCCTTCAATGTCTAGCTGTTAGTCTGGGCAGGACACATATGTATCTGTATTAGGAATATGCTAAATGGTCAAAAGGGAAAGGAATTAGAGGTTTAACCAAACAGGGCAGCTGCATGATTTTCAAAAAGCATTAGGGTCTATTTCTGGTTCCCAAATAGTTATGTGACCTGCTCAAGCCATCTGATTTCTCTGGGCTTCTGTGTCCTCCTCCCTAAATTGTCTCACCCTGTAAGTCTCAGGGGCTGTGTTAGGACCACATGAAAGGGCGGAGGGCTTTACAGAATAACTGAAAAGGTTACTGCAGCACACAAAATAACAGTCTCTTCCACTAGAACAGGAACGGAGACATGCTGGAAAACTAATAGAGCAGACCTGGAGTACTCAGTGGAGTCAAGGGTGACTGGCAGGAAAAACAGGAGAAAAAACAGACTTCACTTCACTGTGTTCACTTGGCACAGGATATTGACAGTGAAGGAGGCTGGGCAGCTGTGAGTGGAGGAATTCTGAACTTCTGGTTCAACTTTGCTAGGAACCTAAAACTGCAACCCAAACATTAAAAAGTGGTATCTGTCCAAGGAATTAGATGCCTTAGTTTTACTGATTTTGTAGTTTTGTGCTGTATGTTACAATGGGCTTCTGTGGTAGCTCAGTGGTATAGAATCTGCCTGTCAATGCAGGAGACGCAGGTTCAGTCCCTGGGTTGGGGAGGTCCCCTGAAGAGCGAAATGGCACCCCCACTCCAGTATTCTTGCTGAGAGAACTCCCCGGAGCCTGGGGGCTACAGTCTGTGGGGTCACAAAGAGCTGGACACGATTGAGCGCGTATCACCAATCGGTTATCAAGGAGCAGGGCAGGCCAGACAAGTAGTCAAGAAGACAGTGGACAGAAAAGATTGCACAGAGGCAGAGTTGATGAGTCCTGGCCACTCCAATGATCCGCTGCTTGGGGGTGTGGGGGGGATGCCAAGATCACAAGTCAGACTCTGGACCTCAGTGCTCCACTCACTCAGAAAAAGGGATATGGCTTTAGGGCTGGCAGGTACAGGCTCAGATAAATGTGGTAGCTCTGTGCCTTGGGGTTGTACCAAGTCTGATAATCTCTACCATCCGCCCTTTGGCTTTGGTTGTGGGGCAGACCAAGCAGGAGAGCACTGCTCTTCATTAATCCTCCTTTAAAACTTAGAATTTTTTAACAGTGTTTGTTGTGTATTTCCTGGTCACTTCCCAGTCATTTAACAGTATTCCATGAATCTAATTTTCTTGCACGAGTTTATTAAAAACACATGGATGCTGTACCTAGGTGACTGTGGTATGGATTGTGCCACAGTTGGCTTAGTCTCCTTCCTCTTTTCAGCCCGTGGGAAGGGAGGCTTGAGAAAAGGACACATCTGCAGAAAAAGGGTACAGGTAAAGGAGGAGACACCCAGAAAAGTCCACAGTCCATAAGTACAAATTCACAATTTGCACAGATCTACACAAGCCAAAAACCAGATATTTAATCAGGTAAACAAAATTATTCTAAATATACTTGTACTTGTTTATAAATATTGATTTATAATGATCCTAAGCATTTGGGGGGGTGGGGGGCGGTGCTTCCCTGATGGCTCAGTGAAGAATCTTCGTACAATGCAGGAAACCCAGGTTCAATCCCTGGGCTGGGAAGATCCTCTGGAGAAAGGAATGGCAACCCACTCTAGTATTCTTGCCTGGAGAATTCCATGGACAGAGGAGCCTGGTGGCCTACAGTCCATGGGGACACAGAGAGTCAGATATGACTCAGCGACTAACACTAAGCATTTTTTTAACTTAAAAAAAAAATCCAAAAACTTCAAGTGAACTGTATTTCTGAATCAGCTTGCTTTTGTCTTGAAGGTTGGGTTTTAAGCACCTTTGCATCCAGGAGTCCATTATCAGAACACAGCACAGGACTCTGCTCCTTAAACATCACTGACTGACCTATTTCCAGCCACACAGGCTCCTTCCCCTGCACTCTCGTGTGGCCTTGCCTGCTCAGGCCTGTGATCCTCCCCAGACTGTCTTTTCCTCTGAGAAAGTCTGACTCACTTATGACTAGTGATATTTCAAAATGGTGGTGTCAAAAGGAAAAACATAAGTGGCTTTTAATTCTTAAGCTGTTAATACTGCTCAGGGAATTGCCCTCTGAGGGAAATGAAAACAGCTTTGTCTATTTTGTTCTCCTAAAAATAACCATGAGTAGAACTGTGTTCTTGACAGATTTGAGTTTGTTCTTTGAATTCTTTCCAGTGAAGTCTGATCACTTTCCTTAGGCCTGCAGTTTTTTATAGTTCTGGCAAGCAGATATTCTAATCCCCAAATTCCTTGGTTTACAATAGTTTTTTCTACCAACCCAATAAAGCCCCACTGGTCTGTTCTTCTATTAATGATGACTGTCAACTATCTCTCGTCCTCCTCAAGCTGCAGAGCTGTGTTTTTCCTTCTCTCAGTCACATGGCCAAGGACGCTTTGAGACCTTGGACAATTCTCTGGACTTCCTGAGGCCTCCTTGGATTGTGTGTCTCCTTTCCCAAATCAGAAGGATGATCCAGCTCTGCCCCCTCTTGTAGTCATATACGGCTGTGCTCACAGCCACTTTCCTTTGCCTGAGGGTGAAAACTCTGATTTCTCGTCACTCTCCCATGGATTTACCTGGGGCTGTCTGTACCCCGTGGGTGGGCGCACAGTCTCCTGCCCCGGCACCGCCTCTTCCCTCAGGGACTCTGAGGGGCACAGAGGCTGAACCCAAGTGCCAAGGCCGCTGCCCAGCAGTCACTGTCACTGCGGGAAGGAGCTGCCCTTAGAAGCCTGGTAACACTCAGGAGGGTGTCCCTTCTGACTGTCCCTTAAGGGAGGTCAGAGCTGAGCTGTGCTTGGATCCCAGATGCCACACCAGCCTGGGACTCCATCATCTGCAATGGCCATTAACAGAAAAGCTCAGTTCCACTCCTTCTGATCTCCTGAACCCCAAATGCTAGTTACCCTTTGCTCCCTCGCCTCTGTTGTCTTCCCCGTTCTCACCGTGTCCCGTTGTAGTGTACAGCAAACATGACAGCCCCTGGCAACAGCCTTCAACACTGCTTATGTAGGATGACTTAACTTTTCAAGATTCTCGTCTTGTCACTGAGAGCCCTGTAAAGCCCAACTGCTACACCCACCTGCAGACCGGAGGAAAAACAGCAGTGGCCCAGTATCAGCCTTGCCCCAGGTACTGTGCTAAATGCCTTAATCCACATTATCACCCAGAAGGAAGACCCTCTTGGTTTCTGTGTCCCCACATAAAATGAATACAATGTTCATTTTATAGATGAGAAATCTGCAATACACAAAGATTGAGTAGTTGGCCCAAGGACACTTACTATACCAGTGACAGTGTGGAATCTGAATCCAGAACTTCCCAAAGCAAATCCTGTGCTATCCCCATTATATCACATTTGAGCTGATAAGCAATGATATAAAGCATTTGGAAGTGCCTAATAATGTGCAGCACACAACAGGCACTCAGGTACCTTAACATGTCAGGTTCAGAGTAGTAACTCAGTACACACTAGTTTCCTTCTTCAACCTTTGTAGCCACATCACCTCCACAGTTCCTTCTAGACTGGAGATAGCTGGGGCTCAAGGCTGAACCCTTGTCATGAATATATCCTGTGGTCCATCCAGAGACCTGTCTAATCTGTACGTATTTCAAGGACCAACTGTCAGGACAGAAAAATACTCATCTCATTAAATCTGAACAAGCCAGTAAGGTCTCTCACTGTTGCTGTTGTTCAGTTGCTCAGTCATGTCTAATTTCCTGCAAGCCCATGAACTGCAGCACACCAGGCCTCCCTGTCCTTCACCATCTCCCACGAGTTTGCTCAAACTCATGTCCATTGAGTCGGTGATGCCATTCAACCGTCTCATACTCTGTCATCCCCTTCTCCTGCCTTCAGTCTTTCCTAGCATCAGGCTCTTTTCCAATGAGTTGACTCTTTGCATCAGGTGGCCAAAGTATTGGAGCTTCAGCATTGGTCCTTCCAATGAATATTCATATCCTTTATGATTGACTGGTTTGATCTCCCTGCAGTCCAAGGGACTCTTAAAGAGTCCTCTCCAGCACCACAGTTCAAAAGCATAAATTCTTTGGCGCTCAGCCTTCTTTATGATCCATTTCTCATATCCGTACATGACTACTGGAAAAACCACAGCTTTGACTATAGGGACCTTTGTCAGCAGTGATGTCTCTGCTTTTTAATATGGTGTCTAGGTTTGTCTTAGCTTTTCTTCCAAGGAGCAAGCGTCTTTTAATTTCATGGCTGCAGTTACCAGCTGCAGTGATTTTGGAGCCCAGCCTGTCACTGTTTTGACTTTTTATCCATCTACTTGCCATGAAGTTATGGAACCGGATGCCATGATCTTAGTTTTTTGAATGCTGTGTTTTAAGCCAGCTTTTCCACTCTCCTCTTTCACTTTCATCAAGAGGCTTTTTAATTCTTCTTCACTTTCTGCCATGAGGCTGGTGTCATCTGCATATCTGAGGTTATTGATATTTCTCCCGGCAATCTTGAAGCTTCTGCTTCATCCAGCCTGGCATCTTGCATGATGTACTCTGCATACAAGTTAAATAAGCAGGGTGACAATATACAGCCTTGACATATTCCTCTCCCAATCTGGAATCATTCCGCTGTTCCATGTCTAGTTCTACCTGTTGCTTTATGACCTGCATACAGGTTTCCCAGGAGGCAAGTAAGATGGTCTGGTATCCCCATCTCTTTAAGAATTTTCCAGTTTGTTGTGATCCATACCATCAAAGGCTTTAAGCATAGTTAATGAAGCAGAAGTATGTCTTTTTCTGAATTCCCTTGGTTTTGCTATGATCAAGTGGATGTTGGCAATTTGATCTCTGGTTCCTCTGCCTTTTCTAAATCCAGCTTGTTGTACATATGGAAGTTCTCGGTCCATATATTGTTGAAGTCTAACTTTGAAGGATTTTGAGCATTACCTTGCTAGCATGTAAAATGAGTGCAATTGTGCAGTAGTTTGAACATTCTCTGGCATTGCCTTTCTTTGGGACTGGAATGAAAATTGGCCTTTCCAGTCCTGTGGCCACTGCTGAGTTTTCCAAATTTGCTGGCATGTTGAGTGCAGGACTTTAACAGCATTGTCTTTTAGGATTTGAAATAGGTCAGCTGGAATTCATCAGCTCCACTAGTTTTGTTTGTAGTAACAAACTAGGAACTACACTCCAGGATGTCTGGCTCTAGATGAGTGACCACACCATCTTGGTTATCCCGGCTGTAAGGCCTTTTTTGTACAGTTCTGTGTATTCTTGCCACCTCTTCTTAACCTCTTCTTAATCTCTTCTTCTTGTTAGGTCCTTACTGTCCTATATGTTTCTGTCTTTATTGAGCCCCTCTTTGCATGACATGTTCCCTTGGTATCTCTAATTTTCTTGAAGAGATCTCCAGTCTTTCCTATTCTGTTGTTTTCCTCTATTTCTTTGCATTGTTCACTTTTTTTTTCATTTATTTTTATTAGTTGGAGGCTAATTACTTTACAATACTGTAGTGGTTTCTGTCATACATTGACATGAATCAGCCATGGATTTATATGTATTCCCCATCCTGGTCCCCCCTCCCACCTCCCTCTCCACCTGATTCCTCTGGGTCTTCCCAGTGCACCAGGTCCAAGCACTTGTCTCATGCATCCAACCTGGGCTGGTGATCTGTTTCACCCTAGATAATATACATGTTTCACTTTTAAGAAAGCTTTTTTATCTCTCACTGTATCAGAGCCCTTTTCCTCCCTCTCCTGTCCTGTCCACCCCAGGATTCCTTGTCCTTTGCAAATACTTGAGTTAGTCTCGCCAGTTGCTCAGAGACTACACAGCAGCTCCTTAAATGAGAATCAAATAACATCAGCAACATTAGCAACAGATGGCCCTTGTCTTATATTTCTCAACCCCATTTCTATAGCAGTGCTTTGTTTAGGATCACACAGCTGCGCAGTGTCAGCAAGCTAGCTGGGTGGTCCTTTAAAGGCTGAGGACAGCAGTGGAGACCCGGAGATGAGAGGAGGTGCTCTAAACCAGAAGCAAACAAGCCTTCAGCTTTATCCTTGGCTCCTTCCCACTAGTGACACCACCACCGCGCTGCTGCCACCTGCTGTCGAAGGCCCTGAGTTGGCGCCTCGGAGAAGCCCAGGTAGTGACCTGTACGCTTGGCAGTGTGGGACATCGTGCCTTCCAGGTCACACTAGCCCCCAAACCTGGTGTCTGGGAGATAACATGGGGGGCACTTGGTCAAGTGGTAATCTCGATGAAAGAAGCAGAGACGGGCAACAGTCCTACAGGCGGTCCTGTCAAAACTAGAAGATGCAGAACTGAGGTTTTTATCTTAGTAAGTGGCCGAACGTCCCACCTCCCACTCCCCACACGGCCCCCGCAGGAAGGCCTTAGCTTGCCGCTGCACAGCAGAATAAAGCTGACGGGCCAGCGTCCAGCAAGGGCAGTCAGGGTTTTGACTTTCTGCACTAAGGACAAGTGTCCCCAAAACTGCCTCCCAGAAACCTCAGTGTATGGGGAGTGTGCCTTTGTCCTCTCCCCACTCACCTCCGTTTGTGCTCCCTTCTCACTCAGGCTGAATAAGGAGTATTTGAATTCCTAAATATGCAGAATATGGTTCTAGCTGCCAGATATCCTCCAAGTCTTGGCTCAGTCACCTCCTATAGGGTGCTACCCCTAACTCCTTCTAATTGGGAATATTCACCTCCCTATAGAGCCTGCAGTTCTTTCGAGAACCATTACTTGACTTTGCTGTTTATTAGCCAGTCTCCTCTAGGTCTCTTCCTACATTAGAGTGAAAACACTTTAATGTTATTACTCACAGAGCCTAGCTTGATGCCTTGCACACACTAGATGTGCAGTGCTTGGTAGATGAATGAACGGACTTCAGTACAAAAGAGGAAACACAGAGAATGCTTTTGGGAAGTACAGTATTTCTAGATTGGCTTAGATGAAATCTAGTGTATCCCAGCTAGGCTGGGATCAGCCTGTGAGGACTTGGGAGGTCTCAGGACTCTTCTTAGAGCCCAGCCAAGTATAGTCCAGGGAAGGCACTTTCCAACTCCTGGGATGCAAGCCACTTCACTGCACTCAAAATGGCCTAATGGGGGTGGATGGGTTTGGTGAGGGGTGGGTCATCCTAGGTTCTTGCTCTGTTCCACCTCAGAGCATAATAGAAGCTCAGGAATATGGTCCCTCTAGAAACTGGATATGGACAAATGCTAGGAAAAAATACAGAAAGCAAAAATGTCCTCAGATTTAGGAATGCCAGCCAGCAGTGAGAGCAGAATCTGAGTGATCTGCACATCACCTCAGCAGAACCCACAGGTGAGACTGCCCTCTGCTTCTTCCCTCTTCCATCCAGAATGCAGACTGATGAATTTGATCACTGTGAAGGTAGCAGCCCCCAGGTCTAAGGAAAAGACTTTTGTAAACTGCAGACAAAGGGACCGGCCAACCACTGGTCTCTGCCACACAGCAAAGATGCACTGCCTCCTGGAGAACCAGTTAGACCACAGTGAAACACTGCAAAGGTGATGCACTTTCTGGAACAGCTGCCTTATACCAGATGTGGGAGATCTCAGAATCTATGCCCTGCTGACCACCTGCAATTCAGAAGTGGGGAAAGACCTGCACTTGGCTGCTATCATCTAGGCTGAAGGGCAGGAACGGATGGTTCAGCCACCACAGCCACTGTTGCAAGCCCACACATTAGGCCATCCCATCTCAAAGGGGGCGGGGGGAGATCTAACATACGCATCACAATCCATAGCCCCACTTTCCACCTCTGAGGACACGCCCTCTGTACCCATTTATGTGTCCTACTGGTTGGCATCCTGTCAGGACTGTGTTCTAAACAGACACACTGGATCAGCCCACGCATCAGGATCAGAATTGTGTCACATGCCCATTAGACATCGCACCCAAAAGCTGTGCAAATACTGATCCATGGGTCACTTTTTTCCCACTAACAAATTCAGAGAACATCAAAGATCAGTTAGAAAGGACCCTTGCTGCCACTCAGTCCATGGGACCACAAAGACTCAGACATGACTGGGTGACTCAGCGCACACACACCGTTCAGTCCAACTCCACATCCCTGTCTCATTTTCTGGACGACCGAGAGGTGACAGGGAGCCCCACTGACCCGAGTGATATAAGGCAGAGCTGGGCCGGCACACAGTTGCTGAGGCCAAGGCCAGAGTTCCTTCAAGTCTTTGTCTTAAGCCATTCAGGGCAGGGAGATAGTAGCTGCTGGCCATGGGAGTTTTCCCTGGAGGCCAGCTAATCTAAACAGTACGTCAAGCATCACATACGGAACCTATTCCATGGGATTTTCCTGTGTGAAGGGGCTTCCCTCCAAAGATAGCAGTAACTACTTCGTGGCAGTGCTTGGCCCACGGCCCTGTTCAGGTCCGGAAGATGAAGGTGCTTCCTAACCAAACAGGTTGTTTTTCTTTTTAATTCTAGAAATGAAACATGTGGTATCTGTTCCTTGCTCCTGTTGTTTACAGTGGTTTCTCTCTTCTTTTAAAATACTAAAGCACCAGTCCATAGGGAGGCCTGTCGTCAGCAACCACCGCCCCAGACCCTCCGCCCAGTGGCCAGCAACAGTCCCTACTAGAATCAGCAGATGGCCCCAGTAGAGGCAAAGCTGTAACCTTGGGTCTGGGGTATTTTGCTCCTGGGCTCTCCTCTGGGGGCCATTTAGGGTAGAACCAATGGCCCCACACAGCCCGCATCAACCACACAGAGGAAGCGCCATCCTCCAGAGTGTCCCGAGGCCTCTAGTACAGTGGTGCATGGCTGGACTCCCAAGGGCACAGGTGGTGAAGAAGAGGAAGTGACCCACATGGTGGCTTCCTGCCCAGCTGAGGTCTCTAGCCCCCTCTACACCCCACGTCCCACAGCGTCTCAGCCACACCTCCATCTGCTTTGTTTTGTGCTCTCAATGCCTCTGGTCCCATCACTGGGATCAAGAAGAAGCCCGCGTGTGGTCTCACACAGACACTGAAGTCACTTACAGACATTGTTTTCAGTGTTTTTTCAGATGACTGCGTATCAGATGTTGCTCCCGGGACCCTGGCACAGATGGTAACGGGCATCCACCCTCATCTCTGCTCTGCGGCTAAAACATCCCCCTCTTCGATGCTCTGAAGCTGCAGCCTCTGACCTGCAAGAGTTCTGCTGCCTCGGCGGCTCCCAAAGCCAATCCCAGGGACAGTCCGAGCTGTAAGCAAGACCCCAGGCAAAGCCTCCTCCCCAAATAAGTTGATTTTGGCTTCAGCCTCTATGGCTTTGGCCAAGCTGGTTGCGTAACTGTCCAAGGACTCGTGCACATCAGCTTTCACGTGAAGAATGGGGTTCTTGGCAGCTTCTAAGAGAGAAGGCAGAAAAAGGGTTAGTGAGGGGCCAGGACTGATGGCTACCCAGGATTGGCCTGCTGTTGCTTTACTGACCTGGGGAGGGGAGACAAACAGGTGACCAGTGTGGGTTCTGGAGCTTAGAGTCCCTAGGCGACAATTCCCTACTTACTATTTGGGAAATCTGAGAAGTCATTTAATCTAATTTCAGTTTCCTAATCTGTAAAGAGATCATGGCACACCCCTTATGTCATAGGGTTCCTGTGATAATTAAACAGTTCTTCCTAAGGTGCTTTAGCTTAGGTCTGGCTCGTAGGAAAGGCTTGATAAATACTTTCTATTGGACTTCCTTGATAGCTCAGTTGGTAAAGAATCTACCCGCAATGCAGGAGACCCCAGTTCAATTCCTGGGTCGGGAAGATCTGCTGGAGAAGGGACAGGCTACCCACTCCAATATCCTTGGGATTCCTTTGTGGCTCAGCTGGTAAAGAATCTGCCTGCAATGCAGGAGACCTGGGTATGATCCTTGGGTTGGGAAGATCCCCTGGAGAAGGGAAAGGCTACCCACTCCAGTATTCTGGCCTGGGGAATTCCATGGACTGTGTAGTCCATGGGGTCCCAAAGAGTTGGACATGACTGAGTAATTTCATTTAGTTTACATCTGTGAAAGAGTTCTCTGGTCTTTCAGCTCCCTGGAATGTGTAGCAGTTTGGGCTATAAACTTCCACAAACCTGAATGTTGTCTCTGGCCTTTCCACACCCAGAGATTCCTTAGAGCTATGGAGAACCTCAGGATTTAAAGGACATTAAAGGTCAGGTGCCCTTTCCCCAAGGAGTAGGATCCCTGAGAACTTAGGTGAACAGGTCAGGGGGGTGGGGGGCCTTCAATTTCACATTCTGATGACTTTTAACCTCACTGCCTATTTTTCTCCTGACATTTTGGAGGGAACAGCTTATTCCCTAATCCTCATGTTGCCTGGAGTAGGCAATTCCCATGCCATGCTCCAAGAAGAGAAGGGAGGAACACGTGATCTCTCCCTGCCCTGCCACTCGCTCCCAGGAGGACTGGTGTGGTCTTGAAAGTGCCTGCCCCTCGCCCTGTCTGCAAAGAAGGGTGCCTTTGATATATGGTCCCCCAACATGGAGGCTAATGGAGCGAGCTTGGCCATATGTGGGCTGGGTGGATTGGGGAAGGCCTCAGTCCATTTTTTTAAAATTTGGGAATGACATATTATAAGGCCCATGAGGCTGCTAATCCAAGCTCTGTTCTTGAATCTACTTTCCCCATAAAACAGATGTTATCTGCCTCCTTGACATCCATGACGAACCCTTCCATTCATCTGGAATTGGGATGGGAAGTGGTAGAAAAGATAGGACGAATTATGAACATAAACTCTGATGTGGCCCATATTTATTTTCACAGTCAGCATTTCTGAAGAAATTATATCAAAGTTCCTGGACCCCTCCCTCACATCTCATTCAGAGGAAAAGAGATTCTTCCATCTGTGGGCAGCCTGGATGGCACTTCTGTCAGCATATCTGGAAGGGAAACTAGACCCCAAATTCCAGAGGCAACTAGAGTGCTGAGGGCTGAATTCAGAACAGGTGGGGCCAAAAACACAGGAGCCGGACTACAGCAGAACTCACTCCTCTCACAGGACCCAAGTGCCCCAGCACCCTCAAGAGGGCAAGACCATCGAGGCGGCAGCTTCCCCTGCCATGAAGCTGGAGCACTTATTGGGCCATTATTGTCACCTTCCACACATGAAAGCTGAGGCTCAGAGAGGCCGAGTTCAGATTCATATCCACACAGCATCCATAAGGAAAGAAACTTCGGAGGGCTCAGAGACTGGTGTAACTAGTCAGGTGACTTCCTGAGGGAGGAGATGGGAGTCAGTGTGTGTGTGCGCGCGCGAGTGTGTGTCTATGTAGCCCACTGCTTGCCCAGTCTTAGATGCTGTTTGCTCTAAGAGTTAGAAGCCTAAGGACTCAAGTGAGAGCGGTCGGGTCTGGAGTGACATGCGGATGGGCAAAGGCGGAACCCCTAGTGTGCTGGGCGTGGGGGCAGGCTCAGCCGAGGAATCTTCCTAAGATCCTTTCACGTCCCCATTTCCCTGAAGCCATCAGTCACAGACACCAAACCTTTGATTTGTTCTACTTCATCTTCAAATGTCACCGAGCTCCTCCTCTTGGGTGGGCATGTGCCATGGGAGGGAGGGTTGTCATCTGACGCGTAGTCTTCAAGCAGCATGACATCTGTTCCTAAAACCAAGGGCAGATTGCGCACCTCTAACTGGCAATGCCAGATCCTCTCACCTTCTGTCCCACCCTCTCTCAACACCCCTTGCATCCCTCTCCCATTTATTCAAACCCACAACCAGGTGCAACCAACTGCCCTGCAGATTTGTCCAGGACACACGGTGTCTCTCGTCTCATTTCAGGGAGTTTGCAGCCAGCCACTGGGGCTGCTTCTCAGGCACACCAAAAACAGCAATGGTATCCAAGTGGATGGGTTACAGCCAGAACTAACATACTCAGAAGTGCTGAGTCAGCCAGACCTGGACTGGGGAAGGGGAGTCAGACTGAGTGGAGGAGGGAGGCATTATTAAAGGGGCTTTGTGTTCAGAGTGATTTTTCTTACAGTTTGAATTTCTATCCTTCTAGTTAAAATATGCTGTGCTAAATAAACATATAAACGCTGAATGTGTAAACTTCTTTAGGGATCAAAAAGGGATTGAAAAATATGCCCCTCAAAAATCAGGGGGAAAGGCAGACAGGAAGGAAGTTCTATGAGAGGGAACTGGGTAGACAGGTGGCGAGGGGTGGGGAGGGGAGCAGAGCTTAGCAGAACCCTGACCCCACCCTGGGGCAGATGCTGGGACCAGCCCTCCTCTGTCTCAGTCTCTAGCCTGCAACCCTTCAAAGCCTGGTGCTCAGCAAATTAGGAAGGACGAGCCAGGAGTTCCACGTATGTTCTCCCAGGACAACCTGCACAGATGAGCTCCTCTGGCGGACTTTACAACACGGTGGTTATGTTATACAACTCGGGTTCCCAAGTTGGACAGACCCAGGATCACAAACAGGTTACTCAGTCCTTCGGCATCCTCCAAGGTGTACACAATGGGGATAATTCTGTCCACCTCACGGAATGTCAGAACTATGAGCTGGGCCGTGTGAAGCTGTGATGCGGTGCCTGGGGCACAGCAGGAGCCGAGTCAGTGGAACCATCCCTCACGAGGACGTGGCTAAGAGCAGGGAGGCTGAAGCTCGCACTCCAGTCTGCATGAGCCCGGAACCCAAGCTCTTTCTTCTGGCTCCAACACGTTCCCTTACTCCTTTTCGCCTGGCCACCTCCTATTCACTCTACAGGTTTTAACATCACTTCCTCAGAGAAACTCTAACGCTCCCATCCCCAAGGGTTCTCTCCCCAACGGGGAGCACGTACAAGCCCGCTCTGTTTCCTCATGGCACTCGGCTTCCTCTCCCACAGCTCTCATCACTGCTAGACCTTTTTAAATAGCAGAACTACTGAGGTATAATTTGCAGCCCACACAATTTGCCTATTTAAAGCCACATGAGGGCCATTCACCAGCACATCTCTAGAACATAGGGCAGTATCTGCTCAAGGCAGGGGCTTGGCAAGTAAATATCTGTTTAGTGAACAAATGCCCCTGCCTCTGGATCCCGACTGGTTGTCTGAGAAGACCTAAGAGGGCCTGAGGAGCAACAACGACTTTCCTGTCCTTCGAGTTACAAGAGGGACTTTGGTCTACAAGGGAGGCTGTGACCGGCTGTTTAACCCTGGGCTGCCTGCGGGGGCGCATTCTCAGGGAATGTTCTGCCTCCAAGGGAGATGCTCCAAGACAGGAGGCCTGGTCTGGGTCCCTGCCCGGGGCCCTTCACCCTAGAATTCTGCAATACAGGCTCAGATGAGGAAACAGATCAAGACAGAGAGGAGTTTCCGAAAGGTTCCCGCTGGCGAGACGGAAGAGCAGGGAGGGAAATATTCACGGCTAGCCTGCTGCAGTGAGGTCCGGGCTGTAGAACCCTGGGTTCACGCCCTGCAGGTGGACAGATGCCACCCTGGGATGCGGTGCTTCATCAGCTCTGTGAATGACCGATGCAGGGACACTGCCCATCCCTGCCATGAGCCTCTCACCTGGTGAGGTGCTTCAGCTACATGCTGGTGAGCACAGAGGCGGACTGTGATATCACAGAGCCCAGTGCTGAGGGGAAGAGCCCTGGGCTGGCACCATCCCCTGGGCAGCAGCAGCTAAGGGAGGGTCTGGAGGATATTGATGGAGATATGTTTCATCAGAAAGATCAAGTTCCCCATAGGTAGATCTTGGGGCATGTGAAAACATGATGAGGGAGAGAGGGACAGTGCCCAAGTTCTGGGGCAAATGGGGAGCCTCAAAAGTTTAGAAGACTGAGTAGCTTGTCTGAGATAACACAGCTCTTAAAAAGCCAACTCAAGACTGAAAACCAGGCAGGTTGATTCTGGAGCCTGCACTGGTCAGTGGTTATTATAATTCACATAACAATTCATGATCATTTGGCATTTTAACTTTGAAGGCTTTCACTTAATTTGAATCTCACAACAACCCTGCATGGCAGAGAGAACAGGAGCTGAGATTCTCGTTATACAGAGGAAGAAACGGGCGCAGAGATGCTGAAAAGCAAAAAGCCATGACTGGGAACCCAGACTCTTGACTCTCACCCCCACACCCTGGGAGACGTTCCTCCCGCCCACATGCTCCTGCCTGGAACTGGGGAAATGCAGCAGGTGGGAGGCTTACCTGAGTCCTGAGAGCAGCTGAAGCCAGTGTCCCCGGTGCTGCTGCTGTTCCCCAGGGGCTGTTCGCCTGCCATGAGGGCCGTGAGGTGTGGGGACAGGCCCAGGTCTGCAAAGCAAGGTCGACACTGACCGCACGATTGTGCCCAGGCCCACTCTCCTGTCCACCCTGCTCTCCCTGCAAAGGGTGCTCCGCATTCACTGAAGACACGAAGGTCTTGGCTGCCTGTTCTCCACTTCACCCCTTGTTCTTATCCCAGGGAGTCTGTGACAGGATTCACTGGGTCCTACCAGAGGGGAAGAGCTCATGACAAATGTTAGACACCAACAAGGCAGGTGGGAGAGAAAACACAGTGAACAGTCCTGGGAGATCTTCCAGTTACCACAGCATGTGGGTGCTCCTTTAACTTCCAAGCCTATCTGAATACCAAAAGGTATTTTTTTAGAAGAGGCTGAAAGCCCCAAGCAAAGAGGATGTTTGTAAGTTGGAAGGTAGGGGGTGGGCAATGAAACTGACCCAAAAAAGAGCAGAGACTGGCAACAGGGGAGGACTGGAAGGAGACCCCCAAAAGCTTAAGAACTGAAGGCGTGGAGTCTCTGGGCAGGTTGGGCTCAGTGGACAGACTCTACAGGAAGCAGTGGGTCCCCTCCATTGCTAGTCCCCGCTCAGGCTCCAGGGACCTGCCCTCCGTGTCGGCAGGAGAGCGGACAGAGTGAACTGGGCAGCTCTGGCCTTGGTGACGCCAGGCACATGGCAACGTGTAAAAACTGAGGGAGCAATGAGAGGCTGCCTGTTAACAGTGGGACCCCGCCCCACTGCTTTACTCAGCCTGGGCAGGGGGCCAGAGGTCTCGTCCCCAGGGAAACCCAGCCCGTCAGAGGGAAAAGCCGCACAGACCCCGAGAGCTGGGCAGCCTGTAAAACGGCCCAGCCCCTCCAGCCTTCACGCTGCGCGGCCAGGGCTGCCTCATTCACCATGAGGGACAGTGACGATCAGGAGACATGTAAGGAAAAGCACTAGCAGAAATGGGAGAACAAAAGAGGAAGGAATAAAAAAAGGATCTGCAGGACACCATGCAGGGCGCTTAAGAAAACAAAATTCTAATTGGGTATCCTCAGAAAATTAAGAAAATAACCAATCTATGAACAAAAGAGCTGGAGGCCACAAAGACCATGGAGATAACAGAAAGGCACTCTTAGCAATTAAAAAAACAGCACAAAAAGCGAAACTCCTCCCATCTCCCGAGGAAGACCTACCTGCCGTGAAGGCCCTGCCATGACAGACCACCTGTGTTTGCCCACAGCACGCTTACAGACAGGTGAGGCCTCTGCCTATACTTTCATCGTAATTCCTCAAGGGAAGAAGGCGGCAGTACACATGCTCTCCTTCCTCTCTCGGAGCCAAGGAGGAGATGGTGGGGGCATGGCAGCCCATGCAGACAGAGCTGCTCTTTTCATGAAACATGCGGATAACACTTTCGCAAGGAGCTGCCCCCTGGTGTCGGGGGCTGGGCCCAGAGAAGATTCCAAACATGATCACCCACCTTCAGGGTCTTGGCCTCAGAGTATGACTATGTCTCAGCAGGAAGCCGGGCTTGAGGAAGGCGGCCTGTGGGGGAGCGTCCACTGCCCGCTGGAATGGCGGAGGCCACAGTGGGCCTTGGACACATGTCTGAGGCTGTGGTGAAAGCGAAGCAAGCCCTGGTCTCCCCAGTGGGAGGACTCTGCACCAGGCCAGTGCAGCTCAGCTAGGAGATCTGGAAACAGGGCAGCCAAGTGGAGACTCTCTATTCTGTGTTTATCCAGCGTTGATCACTAGAGAATGGGTGCAGCAACCCTGAGTTTCTCCACATGAAGCAACAAGACACCAGACTGGGCTCAGTCCAGCCCTTTAAAACATTTCTTTTAAAGAAAGAAAGAGGCACAAAGTGACAGGCCCAGAGATCAGATCAGAAGCCTGGCGCGGCCGAAAGAGTCACGAGTGTCTTTCAGAGGCTAAAGGAACAGGAGTCCAATTCTGGGGTGAAACTGGCACTTTGAAGTAACCAGAAGACCGCTCGGCAGCACAGGAAAGGAACCTGGAGAAGCAAGTGGGGGAAAATTCAGAGGCCCCAGGCCTCTTACCCTCCAGTGCAAACCTTATGAAGGCCTTGAGGTGGGCCATTTCCTCTAGTAAATGGAAGTCAGTGTCCTTTTCTCCAGAAAATAACTGGGAAGGCTCTATCCCCAGCTTCAGGAGCTTCGAGCATCAGGTGGGAGTGGCATCTGGAGACACCTCCCTCCAGCCTGGGTGTCGGGCCTGGTGGCAGTGTTGCCAGATGAGCTCCTGGCCCTTTCTCCTGAAATCCTCAGCTTTGCTCCAATCGCCTGCAGCCAACTATCCGCTTTGGATTTGTAGTGTGGCCTTCACTGAAGGACTGATGTTGAAGCTGAAACTCCAATACTTTGACCACCTGATGCAAGAGCTGACTCATTGGAAAAGACCCTGATGCTGGGAAAGATTGAGGGCAGGAGGAGAAGTGGATGACAGAGGATGAGATGGCTGGATGGCATCACCCACTCAATGGACATGAGTTTGAGTAAACTCTGGGAGTTGGTGATGGACAGGGAGGCCTGGCGTGCTGTGTGTGGTCCATGGGATTGTGAAGAGTCAGACATGACTGAGCGACTGGACTGAACTGAACTCCTAAGGCCAAATATTAGCATTTAGTGCACCTTTCAGCTGGAGAAGGCGATGGCACTCCACTCCAGTATTCTTGCTTGGAAAATCCCATGGATGGAGGAGCCTGGTGGGCTGCAGTCCATGTGTCGCAAAGAGTTGGACATGACTGAGCGACTTCACTTTCACTTTTCACTTTTATGCATTGGAGAAGGAAATGGCAACCCACTCCAGTGTTCTTGCCTGGAGAATCTCAGGGACGGCAGAGCCTGGTGGGCTGCTGTCTATGGGGTCACACAGAGTTGGACATGACTGAAGCGACTTGGCAGCAGCAGCAGCAGCACCTTTCAGCACTAGAATCAATGTCCACTCCAGAGCTGACCTACCCACCATGAGGTGGCCCTGCCTGGCAACTCTCAGGGAGGCCAGAGATTTCAACTCTTCAGGGAGCGCCATGCTAATCTGCTAATGAGACTTCACAGGCAGAAAGTATCATAGTGGCCTGGTGAGAGCTGGTACCCAGGGGAAACCTAAACTGATGCACTTTTTCAGTTTGGGGTTAATAGGATGAGAAAACCAAAATTCATGGATTATGGGTGAAATCTACATTTGAAATCTTAATAAACATGACTGCCTATGTAGAACTCCTGGCATCTCAGGGGCAGTAGGAAAGTCCAGGTGTTTGTGGAATGCACTGCACCTGCTCACAAGCACTGTTAGGAAAGTTTATAATTCCATGTACTGAATCCTTTGGTGAGAACTTTCCAGGTGCTCATGCAAATGGAGAGGAACAAAACCAAGAGAGGGCTTCTGAGTCTTTTCTTGCTGGCTTTGGAATGAATCCTATCACCCTTCTTAATGCTGTGCTAGCAGGAGAGAGCAAGTTCCTTCTCTGAGTGTAAGAGAGGTAGCCTGAAGCAGGCTGGGGCAGGGAAAGCCCACGGGGGTTTAGGCGTCTGCTGCAGATGCAAGTCATGCCACAGAGAGTGCAGACCAGGGTCTGCCCACAGCCCTGGCTCAGCCAGAGGACAGGGATGCAAGGTGGAGGCCAGGGTTCTCCCTCCGAATCAGAAAGGCCATGGGTTTTCCTGGTATGACCAGAGCAGGGTTCAGGGATGGGATGGGCACTGCATTCTGCTTTCTTTTTAAGACTCTTGCCAATGGTGTTGCCCAGCTCCTAAAGTCAGGACATCTGGGGAAGAGACAGCAGAGATGCCCCCAACTCCGATTCAAGGGAAGGCCAACAATTCAGAGCCCATCATCCCACACACTCTTCAGCCCAACAACAACCCACAAGACTGCTTCTCCTCAATGAAGAGACTGCTCACTGCCTTGAGCTCGCCAGTGGAACCACAGAAGGTGTTTTCCGTCTGTGCTCGCAGCCTTACAAGCTCTTCTGGGATAACCCCAAGTGGCTCACACAGAAAATCCTGGCTCCCAAAACAGAAGCTTCTTCTTATTCTATCTACCTTCTCCTCCTCCATTCTCTTTCCTCATTCTTAATATAAAATGTTTATTATTTTTTTTTTGCCCGGAAGATAATTGATTTTACAAAATCTGAACAAATAATCAGTAAAATAAAACCAAAGCCTGAATGTATTTCTCCTGGCTCACAAGTCACACTTGGTATCATAGTCTTGCCAGTAGCAAGAGGTGGAAGTTCAGGAGTTAAAATTCTCCTATCCCAAGAGATTTTTTTTTTTCTCCTATGGTCAAAATAAGGAGGGAGGTTAAAAAGGGAGAGCATATATGTATACCTATGGCTCATTCATGTTGAGGTTTGACATAAAACAACCAAAGTCTATAAAGCAATTATCCTTCAATTAAAAAATAAATAATTTTTTAAAAAGTCCCAGAATTCCTTCCTTTCTCAAGAAAAAACACTCCATTAGTCCAGGAGATAAATTAGTGATGTTGGTTTGCTGCCACATGGAACAGATCTCCTATCATCACTACTCCAGAGTACTCATAATTAAGAGTTGTAATTTTCACTCTCTTGGGAGGGGAGGTGGAAAGCCTATTTCCTGGAAATGAAAAATTAACTCAAGCAGTGAGTTGCCCAAAGTCATTTGACAAGAGACTGGAACTGCACTCTGTGGCTCTTTTCATGAATATGATCTGCTAAGTGCCCTCAGAGTCTCCCTTCCAATAGCTCATCCAGGTGACAATCTCCCTCAAACAACAGAGTGGTGACTTTGGAGGCAAGATCCACCAACGCATGCTACAAACCGTGGGTGAAGGTTGAAGGGGAAATAGGATATTTTCATAACCTCAAAGTATCTCCTCTGGTGTACTTATTAATGACAATGCAAAAAGTAGTGAATCTACGGCGGGGAAACCTGCCAGACATCAACCTAACTGTATGGCCTGATAGCATTCCCCCAAATTCCTATACTGAAGCCCTCACTCCCAGTGTGATGGTATTCACAGTGAGTTCTTGGGGAGATAAGTAGGTTTAGAAGAGGCCCTGAGGGTGGGAAGACCAGAGAGCTTGCTCTCTCCTAACCTTCCACCACGGCAGGACACAGCAAGAGGACAGCCTGGAAGAAAGCCCTCCCCAGAACTCAACCAGGCTGCCACTCTAGCTGCAGACTTCCAGCCTACTGAACTGTGGAAAAATGAATGTCTTTGGTTTAAGCCATATTCTACGGTATTTTGTTGTAGCAGCCCAAGCTAAGACATCAACCAAGAGATCAAGAATAAAATTAGCTAGTAATAAGACCTATAGATATCTGTGCCCCTGGTATGCTTACTAGGAAGAGCATATCACCTGCCTAGCATCCTGTCAAAACAGTAACCTTGAGAACACATCAGCTACACAGAGATTGAGGGGCTGTCTACAAAATCCCTGAACAGAACTCTGCAAAAGTGTCAAGTCAGGGAAGACAAAGAAAGAACAAAGACTTGTTAAAGACTGAAGAAGACAAAGGAGATGTTGTGACTGAATACAACATGGGATCTTGAACTAGATCCTGGAACAGAAAAAGGACATCAATAGGAATATAGGTGAAATCTGAGTCAAGTTTGTAGTTGTTAATAGCCATGCACTCATGGTGCTATGGTTAGGCAAGATGTTAGCACTAGGAGAAGCTGAGGGGATGCGAATTCTCTATTGTTTTTCCAACTCTTCACTGAGTCTATAATTATCTCAAAAGAAAAAGTTTTAAAAATATTTATCCCAACTAGAGTAATTCCTTATCAAAGGGCATGGGATTGTGCCTAGAAACTTAGCTCTGAAATCAATTATCAGATGGAGAGGCAGCTTTAATACATATCAGATAGCGACACTTCAGTGACGGAGTGGAGGCTTGCCCTCAACACATCCTGAATTACCAGGGACGGTACATGGAAACCACTGACCGGGGAGGGAAGGGCTCAAGGAGGAGGATTTCCAGGAGGAGCAGCTGAGGAGGGAAAGAGCACTTTAAAAAGGACTCTGCTTCAAGGAACACTGAAAGGAGGAGGTGGCCTAGTCCAATGCTTAAATCCTTTTTTTCTTCTAGATAGAAATAACTATATTCTACAGACCAGTGGGCCATGGCTGCGGTCACAGAACTCGTGTCCTCTGCCATGCCCAGCTTGGGAAATCTGCTTGGGAATCACTGCGATGCTCCTTCCCCAAAGGAAACCTGTGCTTTAAGCCCCAAGGCTGCCGTCAGTCTAAGATCTCACCCATCAACTTGCCAGAGTGTCCAAGAGGACCACAGACTACACCTGAGAGTGGGCATCCCTTTTCTGACAAGTTTCCAAGTTACCTGTGATCCTATTGGAAATGCTGAAGAGCCTAGACGTCCTCTGCCGCTGTACAAATGGCTCCCGGTAATACCGATCCCCAAAGCACATGCCCAGGAGTTCCTTGCGCACCGTCTTGTTCCAGAGTCCATAGATCAGAGGGTGGCAGATGGCGCTGGTAAAGGACAGCCAAGTGGCCCAGGTCTCCAGGGTTGGGGAGACACAGTTCTTCCCCCAGAGGGCCTCAGAGGTGATGACAACCATGTAGGGGCCCCAGGTGACCATGAAGGCACCAATGACCACCAGGATGCTGATGAGGGCTTTGCACTGGTTGGCTGAATAGACCACGCCCTGAAAGGCGTTCTTCCTGCTGCCCGAGGAGGAGGTGGAGGTGCTGGAGCTCTTCCTCCCGGCCCTCTGTGCGCCCACCTCCACAGCGACCACAGCGCCACAATGCACCTTGCGTGCTTTGACCCTGGCCACTCGGAAGATGAAGCCGTAGCACACCACCATGACCAAGAAGGGGAACAGGGCGCACCAGATCTGCCAGAACGCGGTGTAGCCGGGCTCCCGGTGCCACGCGGCCACACACATCCACTTGAACTCGTCAAACTCCACTGATGGCCAGCCAAACAGGGGTGGCAGGCAGCCGATGAGGGAGTGAAGCCAGATGTAGGCAAGCACCATCACAGCCCGGCTGCCTGTGATCTTCATTGGGTACGCCATGGGGTACACGACAGCGTAGTAGCTGGAAAAGGGATGGAGGAAGGTGAGAAGAGGCAAAGTGGAGGAGAAACACACCAGGATGGATGCCCACTGCTTTCCTAGGTAGGGAGTTTGTTGGATTTCCCTCATTCCACTCAGCCACAGGGTGAGTACTTCTAAAAGTAGCACCTTCTCCCAGCCCTCCCTGGACAAGTCACAGACTGGCCACATCACGCAGCCCTGTGGGACTCTCCATCAGAGAATGACTGGCCAGGAAGAACACAGAGCTCGGGCAGCCCTGCTTCCAAGCTGCCGTGCCAGAGTCCACTCATTTTGGGGCTGTGGCTAGTCTTGGAATCATGCATCAAACCAAATCACTTTTGTGTTTCTAACATTAATCCTTTTAGATCAGTTTTCAGAGGGTTCTCAGAAACCAGAATAACTTCTAAGGATGACAGGGTTCATTCACTCAACGAACTGAAGGCCTGCCACATGCCAAGCCTTGGGCTATGCACTGGTGTGTGTGCTCGGCCACCCAGTCGTGTCTAACTCTCTGGGTCCCTGTTGAGCACAGCGTGTCAAGCTCCTCTGTCCACGGGATTCTCCAGGCAAGAATGCTGGAGCGGGCTGCCATTTCCCCTGGCTACACGCTGGAAACACCGGTGAAAAGACGCAGAGGGCGACTGGCACAGAAGCAGAGTAGAGGCTCTGGAGTGCAAAGGGCTCCATTTAATCCTCACAAACGTCTGACGTGGTGGACGGTATCATTATCTTCATCTTACAGATGAGGACCCAAAAGCAGAGAATGGATAGATAATCTGTCCCAGCCAAGGAAGAGGAAGAAACAAGATAAAAATCCAGGCAACCTGACTCTATAGTCCCCAACGCACATGCCAGCAATTTCCTGCAAATCCTCTTGTTCTGGAATCCACAGCCGAGGGGTGGTTGCTAATCCCTTAGCTCTGTAAGGGAGGGAGGCCTAGAGAGTTACTGATTCATACTGATGGGGCCTTGGATCCAGAGTGCAGAATTAGGGCAGACTTCTTGGAGGAGATGGCACATAAACACAGGTCTTAAGAGATCAGAGGTACTGGTCCAGGAGCAAATGAGGCAGAAAGCCAGTCTTGGCAAGGTACGGAGATGCACATGAGCACTGCCTGTCAATGCAAGAGACATAAGAGATGCGAATTTGATCCCTGGGTCAGGAAGATTCCCTGGAGGAGAGAATGACAACCCACTCCAGTAATTTTGCCATGGAGAGAGGAGCCTGGCAGGCCTCAGTCCAGGGGTCACAGAGAGTCAGACATGACTGAGACGACTTAGCATGCATGCACTGGCTCAACAGGGAGGCTGCTTGTAGCTCAATCAGGCAAGCAAGGAGTGAAGGTGGGGCAGGGAGACAAGGAGCCGGGGCGCTGGGGAGCACTAAGCCTTGCTGGCCAGCTGAGTACTGATGCTTTAACTGGAATGGGTGGGGGTATTAAGACCATGGGGTTGAAAGTAAATCACCACCCTCCAGACATTCTATCCAAAACAAACGCTGTTTAGTGATGGGGCTTCTGCATGAGGCACCATGTGGAGGGGCAGGGGTGACCACACTGATGCCACCTGGTCCAGGCAGGATGACAGGAAATGACCACACATTGACTGCGAAGCCACTTTTCCACCAGGGCCTTCCTGAGTCAGCCCTAAGCGCTAGCAGCTCAGAGACGGCGGCCACAGCCTGAATTGCACCAGCTGCCTGGATAAACTTTCACAGAGGAGCCGCTGCCTCAGTCTACACCTCTGTGTAGACTGTGTGATCAGTGGCAAGACGGGCTGCTGGTCTCAAGCCTCGAGGCCCTGCCAAGGTCTAGCCTGGAAAGAGTGCTTCTGAGTGTGAGGCCTGAGGAGGGGGGACCGTAATTATGGGGTAGATCACACACAGGCTATGGACACTCTGCACACAGGTTATGGTAAAGCAGGTCCTGTCTCACACTGACATCTGGGTTTGCATCTTGCGAAGGCACTGAAGCCACATGAAAGAAGCATGCCTTTGGAACTGAAATTTCCTGGGTTCAGATTTTGATTCTGCAGTCTACTAGCTGTGTGTCCTTGGGGGGTTATCAAACCTCTCAGAGCTTCAGTTCCTTCAGCTGTAAAATGGGAAACACTTAGGATGGGGATCAGGTCTTAACACTAAGAAAGAGAGGTTGTCAGTAATTAGTCTCCAAGGGCGATTGGGAGGTCCTGCTACCCTGTTAAAGTCTTCAAATAAACCGTGGATGCAAGTCTGGTTCAAGGACAGAATATGCCAGAATGGGGGAAAGAGCTGGGTGGGGCCTCTCTTTAAACAGCAATAGGGACAGAGCTGGGTCTTTGTCCACTGAACCTTCCCTCTTCCTTCTTTTTAAAAAGTTAATTAATTAATTATTTGCCGGGTCAGGTCTTAGTTGCAGCACACGGGATCTTCACTGAGCTGTGCGGGATTTTCATTACGGTACACAGATCCTCTAGTTGAGGTAGGTGAGTTCAGTAACAACGGCGCAGGAGCCGAGTTGCCCGTGGCACGTGGGCTCTTAGTTTCCTGGCCAGGGATCGAACCTGTGTCTCCTGCATTGCAAGGCAGATTCTTAACCACTAGATCATTAGGGGAGTCCCCTCTTCCTTCTTGAAGACAGAATCTTCATTCTGTTCCTGCAAAACTGCTGTGACCACAGGGGGCCCATGGCTTTTCCGAGCACCAGGGGATGAACCAGGCCGTGCTGGTGGTATCCGCCCCCTTGCCAGGTGACCAGTTGAGGCTCTGACCTGTGTAACAACATCTGGCAAATGAAATGTGAGGGGAGTTTGCTAGGGTAGGATTGGGGGCACATCCAGGAAGGTTTTCTTCACTTTTAAAAAAGAAACAAAGCAGGGATTTCTGCTTTCCTCTGCCCATTTAAAAATCACGCAGGCCCTCTGACCTCAGACAATACCTCAGGGACAATACCTGGGTGTGGGAGGCCAGGCCTGAGGAATGTGAGCTGTCCCGGGCTCCTTGGACGAACCCTGTTCAACCAGTCATAAAAATCATTACAATTAAAAGACAGTCCTCTGACACATATCCTTCTGGCTATTCTCAACACCAGTTAGGATTATTATTCAATGGCAAAATTTCTTTGTATCACTGGTTATCTAGAGTTTGGAGCATGAGCAATTCCACTGGGATGTAACAGTGATTCTCCCAGCTGAATCCCAGAGGCCCATCAGGGCGCCCAGGCAGGGGGTTGGTGCTGGTTCCTGAGGGCTGAGTCTCTTGGAATCAGAAGAGCCCCTGAAAGGCCAGCGTGCTGCCTGTATATACCCACACCCTCCAGCGGTTGCTTTGGTTTTAAGGTTCTGGGGGCAAAATTTATATACATTGAAACGCACAAATCTACTACACCTTCATCAAGATATAAACATGCCAACATCTGCCCACAAACACACAAAAAATGGGTTTCATTGCTTTGAAACTTCATTTTTTAAACTTAAGGTTCACTTAGGCCTAGTTTGCAAGCTCAAAAGAAAATACAGAACAAAGGCAACTCCTTATGCCCTGCAGGTTAATACAGGCCAAAATGGAGGGTTTCTTCCTTTGTTTCTCATACTTTTAACTGTCTTCTGAAATGCTCTATCTTTTCTCCAACAACTCATCTTTAGACAGGAGCCCAAGCATCACTCTTGGTCCCAAAAGAGGCTTTCATGATGTCACGTGTAACTCAAAAGTTGTAATGGCCATGGGGGTTCCAATGCTTAGCTCTCTTGCAATGAGACCAATCACTTAGAAAACAATCCCTGTTTTTATAAGATGGCTCCACTAAAAACACAAGCAAAGTCTAAGCCAACTACAGCTACCTTGGAATGAACATGTTATGTTATATTGAAAAATCTCCTGACAGCACTATAAGTAACCATCCCACAATGCTAGTTCCTTTCTTTTAAAATACTATTTTAGAGCTGAAGTTTCATTCACTCCAGTCCAGAATGAAAACATAAATATCCTAACAGGACCTTAAACCCTGACAACTTCAAGGCTAAGTCAGAGGCGACCACATCGGACTTATTCACAGGGAACATCCTCCCAGCTCAAACGATGCTGCCCACCCGGATCTGCACCCACACTGCAGGTTTAGGACACTGACATCTCAATGGTGAATTTCACTCCAGCCAACTATTCTTTTACGCTCTACCTTTGCTCTCTCATCATGGAGCTACAAGATGGACTTTCTGGCTCATCTGCTGACCAGGCTCATGGATTTCTTTGGGTCCAGCTCATAAGGTCCTTAGCTGGGGACACAAGTCAACGTCTGGAGACGATGGGGCCTGTCACAGTCAGGAGGTGCTACTGGTATTTAGCGAGCAGAGGCCAGGGGTTCCCCTCAACACCCAGAGCAGCGTGTCACAACAGAGAACTATCTGGCGCAACATGTCAGTAGTGCCGAGACTGACAACCCCTGAGCTAAATACACTGGGTGGAAGAGATGATCGACAATTGACTTTGCATACTGTACTAAAGGATAAAAGCCCAACCTTTGGCACCTTGGAATTGGACGAGTTACTTAATAGCCATGAGGACTTGGGCCAGTTTGCAAAACTGCACTTTGCTCATCTGCAAACGGAGTCTGATACAGTTGCTGTGAGTATTCGCTGGGATAAATGTTAACAGCAGGGTGTAGTGCCTGGCTTGCAACTAACAAGACTTCAGTTGAGATCATGCTCCCTACCCTTGTTTTCTTTGACTTTCTTAAGTTGTCCCCATCTCTTTCTTCTACCCCAAGCTCTCTCTTACCCCGCTCTCCTCACTTCTCTTTTCCTACCACCTCCTCTTGCCAGTCTCCCTCTCTCTCTCTCTCACTCCCTGCCTCCTTCACCTCTTTCTCCCTCTTTTTCTCACTGCTTTTTTCCTCTCTCACCCTACTCCCCCACACATACTGTCACATATACAAGAGCCGCATCATTAAGTTTCCTACATAAAAGGCAAATATGCAACCTCCAAAACAACTAACATCCAGGGGTGTTAGAAGGGGTATTTGACATCCTGATCAGATGGTAATCATTTATAATGAAGAGATCAATTAGCCAGTCCGGTCAATTTGTACTTTCAGCCACACAAGTGACCAATAATAAAAAATAAATTGCACCTGCCAAGAAAATATTTGAAGACATCAAAATTCATAGCACTATATATAAGCATATTATAGTCAAAGATCTGGGCAAAGCACTGTGCTGGCCAAATCCATCTTGCTGTGCCTGCAGAAGGAAATGAACGGTTTTCCAAAGACAACCAGGCCTTGGGGACGTGTTGTCATAGCAAGGCAGAAGTCCTTTCTTAATCCATAGTTCTGTCCCTAAGTGACAGGGGGGCCAGGCTGCAGGGTCCGGGATGCCGGGATTAAAGCTCCAGTGGGGTGACTGTGATGCCCATTTGTCCGTACACGTCACTTCTGCCACTGCAGCCTTTTCCTCTGATCTCCGGCTATGTAACACGGACCACGCCTTTTCACCATGTTCCGCCTTGCTCCTTGCTGTGTTCTCACAGTATGTTAAACACACTGGCATTATATACACGTCACACGGTCCTGAAATTACCTGGCCACGTGTCTCTCCCCCTGCACTGTGAAATCCTCCATGTGCTTCTTCAGCTGCATATTCCCAGCACCAACAACTGTGTCAGGCATACATTAGGTACTCAATAGATTTTTTTATCAAATGAATAAGTGGAGGCTTTTATGCAGGAAACCTAATGATGCAGCTCCTGTGTATGTGGGCGGGGGGTAGGGTGGGAGGAAAAAAAGACAAGAGTTTGAGAAAAAGTGGAAGGGGTCCTTGCAATACGACTCACTGTTAGAACTTAGCTCAAATGCCACCTTTTCCCCACCCATGGGCTCCAGAACCTACCATCAGATTCAGCGGCGGGATGTGATCTAAGTTTCCTGACCAGGGGTTGAATCCAAGCCCCCTGCATGGGGAGGGCAGAGTCTTAGCCACTGGACTAAGAGTCCTCAGGCCACAACTGAAGAGTTCATGTGCCATGACGAAAGATTTTGAAAGCAGCAAATAACACCCAACACAGCCAAATAAATAAATATTTTTAAAAACTCAGTGGCAGCGGGCGCTGTGACAGCACTTATTTCTGCTCTGTGGTCGCATCAGCACCTGTGGATCAGCCTCTGCCACAAAACCGGGAACTCCTGGTTGGCACAGTCTGCATCCTAGTCATGCTGTATCCCGCCATCTGGAGATTTAGTACAGATCCTTTCACAACGTAGATGCCAGCAAATATTCCCAGCATCAAAGACTAAAGCATTGAAAGAGGCAAATTCTCTCTCGTTTGATGCATCTGGATGACATGATTTGAGAATCTGTCATGCTTGCTGGTGAAAAAACCTCTCCCTCTTAGCTTATCTAGGTCTCAGATCCAAGTAAGCAGCTTACAGCCTTCAAGAGCTGCCACTATTTACTGAACATCTATGTACAGAGAGCTCTGTGAGAGGCACTTAAAAGTAATTCCCCCACTTTTCTCTTGAGCTGTTGGCCCCCACTCCACCTTCCACAGGACCCAGGACCCAGAAAGGGATATTCCAAAAGTAATGATTAAAAAAAATAAAATAATATCAAACAATAGTGAGATCCCATTCCATCCCACTGCCAACAAAATTTCACTTATGTTTGTAATGCTTATCATCAGTCTTGATTAGGACGCTGACAAGTGGCTACTGGAGTGAACATCTGTACAGCCTTCTGAAGGGGAGCCTGCCTTTCACACACCAAGAATCTTGAAAGTGTGTTTACTTTGAAAACCCAATTTCACAAACATATGTCTTCTTCAAAAGTGCTATTATATAAAATAGTAAGCTAACAGGGAACTGTAAAAATAAACTATAGTCCATCCAGAAGATGGAATACCATGTAACCACTAAAGACATGTTCTCAAAGGCCATTTGCACACGGGAAAAATGCTCACAATCACATGTTAAGTGAAAAAACATGTCACAAAACCACAGTGCCTTGAGCCTATTTTTGTATAGCACACAGCCAAAAATCCCTGGAGGCAAATACGCTAAAATGTAAACAGTGATTGATTGCTTCTTATTAGTAGGATTACGGATATGTCTATGTCTACGGATACGTCTTGTTGCTATTCAGTCGCTCAGTCGTGTCTGACTCTTTGCAACCCCATGAACCACAGCACGCCAGGCTTCCCTGTCCTGCACAATCTCCTGGAGTCTGCTCAAACTCATGTCCATTGAGTCAGTGATGCCATCCAACCATCTCATCCTCTGTTGTCCCCTTCTCCTCCTGCCTTCAATCTTTCTGAGTATCAGGGTCTTTTCCAAAGAGGCAGCTCTTCCAATGAGGCATCAGGTGGCCAAAGTTTTGGAGTTTCAGCTTCAGCATCAGTCCTTCCAATNCCTACATACAGGTTTCTCAGGAGGCAGGTAAGGTGGTCGGGTATTCCCATCTCCTTAAGAATTTTCCTCAGTTTGTTGTGACCCACACAGTGAAAGGCTTTAGCATAGTTAATGAAACAGGAGTAGATGTTTTTCTGGAATTCTCTTGCTTTTTTTATGATCTAACAGATGTTGGTAATTTAATCTCTGGTTCCTCTCCCTTTTCTAAATCCAGCTTGTACATATGGAAACTCTCAGTTCACATACTAGCTAGCATGTGAAATGAGTACAATTGTGCAGCAGTTTGAACATTCTTTGGTATTGCCCTTCTTTGGGATTGTAATGAAAACTGACCTTTCCCAGTCCTATGGCCACTGCTGAATTTTCCAAATTTGCTGGCATATTGAGTGCAGCACTTTAACAGCATCACTTTTGTTTTGAAATAAGTCAGCTGGAATTCTCACCTCCACTAGCTTTGTTTTTAATGCTTCCTAAGGCCCTCTTGACTTCACACTCAGGGATGTCTGGTTCTAGGAAAGTGATTACACCATTCTGGTTATCTAGGTCAGTAAGACTTTTTTTGTATAGTTCTTCTATGTATCTCTGCCACCTTTTCTTAATATCTTCTGCTTCTGTTAGGTCCATACTATTTCTGTCCTTTATTGTGCCCATCTTTGCGTGAAATGTTCTCTTGTTATCTCTAATTTTCTTGAAGAGATCTCTAGTCTTTCTTATTCTATTGTTTTCCTCTACTTTTTGCATTGTTCACTTACGAAGGCTTTCTTCTCTCTCCTTGCTGTTCTTTGGAACTCTGCATAGAATGTATACATGTCTTATTTTACTCTTTATATTTTCAGTATTATTTTTATTGTTGGTGGGGAAAGAACATACTTGGAGAAGTCACCTGATGGCTTTCTTCATTCTAACCCTCCAGTTGGAGAGAGCCAGCAGGAGTCTGGCCTTGGGCCTAGTGGAGGGCTGCACCTTGGGTGGACCATCCAGCAACCACTCACTGGTTCAAAACCTGCTGATTCTAAGGGAGCCAGGGGACCCGTGTCACCCAGTGGTGACAGCCCTGGTGAGCACCCTCTGTGTTTCCCCTGACTCCACTGCTAGCTCCCTCCCCAGTTCTGTAAATCATACAGAATCTGAATCTCCCCTCTTTGTTTCTGTGCAGTCGAACCCTTGCCTGGGATGAAGGAAGTGACCGCTGGCAAAATCCTAAGAAAGAAGGTGACTCTAGGGATTGGAAACTTGGTGTCAAACCCTGTAGAATGTGCACAACTAAATCTGACAGCCCGACTCACTATCTGCAAGAATCTTCTAGGTAGAGCTGAGGGCTGTTTCTTGCTTTTAGAGCCAACCATCCCACAAGAAGGGAAAGCTCAGATTTTGTAAGGCACACACGGTCTCTCCCAGGTAGCACTATCTTTATTCCCTCAGTTGTCTCCCCTCCCCTGCTCTCATTTCCATCTGGGACAGGCCCCTGCCCTGTAGAGGATGGAGAATATTTCCTCTTAGGCTGCCCTGGTGCAGCTCTGGCCCAACCTGAGCAAAAGAGAGCAGGCAGCACTCTGGGGAAGAACTGGATTTGGCGCCCTCTTTGCCACCTCACCTGTCTCAGTTTCCATCTCCCATCTATCACCTGAAAAGCAGAGGCTTCTAGAACTTTTTTTAAGTATTGGAACTTTTTAAAAAAAATAAAACTATATGCAAGCTAGATCAGATAAAATCAGAGGTGCTCTGGTTGAGGGGATGGAAGAAGAGGAAAACCTCTGCTTTCTCACCCTCTCCAGCACTGCCCCTGGCACCCTCCAGAGGAACGGAGGCAGCTTGGAAGGCATGCTCTCTCAGGATGCCCCTTGGCCCATCCTCCTAAGTCCTTCCGTTCTCCATGAGGCAAGCTTACCGGTCGACAGCGATGATCCCAAGGGTGAGCATGCTGGCTGAGCTGATGAGCAGGTACAGGAGCGCTGAGAAGTTGCACCAGACCACTCCGAAGATCCATTCCCTCCGGATGGAGCTGGTCGCCACGAAAGGCAGCACCAGGACAGACAGCAGGAAGTTGGACAGGGTCAGGCTGAAGACGAACCTGTTGCTGAGCGTAAGCAGGTAGGGCTTCCTGTACAAGGTGATCACGATGAGCAGGTTGCCCAGGCAGACAAAAACGGCGATGACGACGATGGCGATGAGCTCTGTGACGCCGCCGCCGCCCTGGTCCCCGGCCGCCTCGGTGAGGTTCCTCGCCTCCTTCCTGTGGCCGAGGGAGGAGTTGAGGCTCATGGTCAGTGCACCTCAGCACGGGGTGGGCCGAGCATGCTGGACGGCTGCAAAGACAAGCCCCGGGCACAGAAGAGCGGTCATCAAACCACAGCACGTGCACTCGACAGAAGGGCAGCCACGGCCCCCAGGGTCCCAGTCAGCTGTCCTCACGCAAGCTCTACGGAGGCAGCCGGTGTTCCACAATCAACTCTCCATGTGACTCACTGTATCCCCCTGAACAATGCACTCCCCCAGTCTAAAACCTCCTGTCCACTCTCCCCAGGGCCAGTGGTTAAAAACCTGTAGTGTGCTTAAGAATCTCCTGCAGTACCAGCTCAAAGAGCTGATTCTTGGGCTCCACCCCTCGAGATTCTAGTCCCAGAGAACAGGGGTACAGCCTAGGCGTCTGCATTTCAGACAAGCACGGGACAGGTGATTCTGATCCAGTCCACATACAGTCCACATAGTTTATGTGGACTGTTGCTTCTGGACCCCTGCGATGCAGTGCGGACCCTGAACCAGCAGCATCAGCACCAACTGGGGCTTATTAGAGATGCAGAATCTTGGGTCCACCTCTGAATTACCGAATCAGAGCCTGTGTGTTAACCCCACTCCTGGTTTGATTCTTGTGCCCATTAAAGTTGGACGATAAGATTGCCATAGGGATCAGTCTGTGATCTCCAAGCAGGGTTTTAACAAGTACAATTCATACCAAGACATTGCTGGTGTTATCAGCCATGGGGATGAAGGGCAAGGAGCCAACACTAAAGATACATGAATAAGAGGATAAGAGTTTCAGGTCTTTGCTCACAAATACCCTTTTTGGGGCAGTCCCTGCTCTCAGGATGCTGGCTCAGGTTCTCAGCAAAAACTCAAAGTTGACATATTTTAACATCAAATCCTACACACAAATGTTTCTCCAAAATTTTCATCTACTTTAACTAGCCAAAAAATCCCACAGATCATTTTCCCCACCTGCTTTTATTCCTGACAAAGAGAAGACACCAGAGGGAAGGAAAGATTGTTTTCCACGAGCCAGGCAGCAAGAACCCTGGTGCCTAGACTGTCTACACAGCAGCAGCCCATGGTCTCTGCTTGACCAGAACCCTCTGTCCAGACACCTTTGGCCATAAGGAGCTGGTAGGTAAGGAAGGCAGCCCTTCCCCTTCCCAGCAGCCCTGACGGTCAGTTTCGAAAGTCTCCCTTTACAGCAAGCCTCATTCATAGGTCACAACCACAGATCCTGCCAGCTTGAACAGCATCAAGCAATTCTCACCCCACCTACCCTTGACAGCCTTCAAACACTTCACAAATGACTTACTTTCTTTGCTCCAGATTAAATCTCCCAGGTTCCTGATGTGACTTCTGGACTCTTTACTAACTCAGACTTCCTCAGTTGCTCACCAGTTTCAATGACCCTACTGATTTGTGGTCCTCTGAATTGAACATACCATTCTGGATATCTGGTAAATGGTGAGTATAAAGGGAAAATTTTCTCCATCATCAGGATAATCTTCTACTATTGTTCATTCTAAGATTGCATTTTCTTTTAGCAACTGTTATTACCCTGTTGGACTTATACAAATGTGTGGTCAGTTAAAACCCAAGGTTTGTTTATACACATATGAGTTGATGTAAAGGCAAGTGATGTAAAGGACACCTGCTTATGGAATTCGTGTTTTTAAGCCTAAGTACAAAACATCATTTTATGCATTTTGGTTCATATTTCCAGGCTGCTAAAATATTCTGAATTTTGATTCAGCTATGCAGTATGTTAGGTACCCCAGTTTTGTGTGATAAATATACTTTATAATTACACCTTCTGTTTCTTTGTTAGCTTATTCTTGGATTTTATTCCTTGAGTTCTAAATTTTGTTCATTCTTTTAAGTGAATTATTAACTGGCTCAATCCCTGGGTTGAGAAGATCCCCCGGAGAAGGAAATGCAACCCATTCCAGTATTCTCACCTGGAAAATTCCATGGACAGAGGAGCTTGGTAGGCTGTAGTCCATGGGGTCGCAAAGAGTCAGACACGACTGAGCAACTAAGCACATCTCAAATAAAGGGCACATCTCAAATAAAGGTCCTATAAGCATGTTACTGGAGAAGGAAATGGCAACCCACTCCAGTATTCTTGCCTGGGAAATCCCATGGACGGAGGAGCCTAGTGGCCTACGGGCCATGGGGTTGCAAAGAGTCGGACACGACTGAGGGATTTCACTTCACTTCACTTCACTTCAAGCATGTTATACTTAACTGTATAAGTGATGACACTGCAGTAAAGAAAACAAATTCTGAGTCATTAGACAAATGACAAAATGGGAGAAAATACTTAAAACGTATATCACAGAAGGACTAATCATTCTAATTTATAAGGAATTCCTAAAAATAAAAAGGTAGAAAAGTGGGTAAAAGACATTTTTTTAAAAATGGCAACTATATGAGACGATGGATGTTAACTAAATTTATGGTGGTAATCGTTTTGCAATATGCACATACATCAAATCATCATGTACCTCTGAAACTTATACAGTATTATATGTCAAATATATCTCAATAAAACTTGAAAAAAAACATACACAGAGAGTTCACAGGAAAAGATACACTAATTGTACTTAAATGTATGAAAAGATGTTCCGTTTCATTCAAAATAACAGGAATGGACATTAAAATTACACTGAAGTACTATTTCTTTCCTTTCAGGCCAGTAAAAATTCAAAAGTTTAGCAACACTCTCTGCTGGGGAGGCTGTGGGGAAGCAGCATTCTCCTAGCCTTCACATGGGAATGCGAAGTATAAGAACTGAAGGGAGGAGGATCTGGCAATACCTAACAAAGCTACAAAGGCACCTAACCTTTGATCTAGCAATTCCAGTTCTAGATATTTACTCTGAAGATATAAGCTCATAATATAAAATAATAGATGCACAGGGTTATTTTATTCATTAAGGCAGTTATTAAAAAAAGAAAATGTTTGAGAAAAGGGGAGAAATAACAGATTTGCACATTAAATATACATAAATATACGTGACTCCGACAGTAAAGAACCTGCCTGCAATGCAGGAGACCTGGGTTCAATCCCTGAGCCAGGAAGATCCCTGGAGAAGGAAATGGCAACCCACTCCAGTATTCTCGCCTGGAGAATCCCATGGACAGAGGGGCCGTGGGGCCGCAAAGAGTTGGACGCGACTGAGCAACTTAACACATTCTCACTCTTCACATTTAATTATGCAAAAAGAAAAGTAGGAAAGATAACCAGAAACTAAGATACAGATGGGAGTAGACTTCTCGAAGTATGTTTTTACAGTTTTTATTTTTTTCTTGAAAGGTAGATGATGTAAAAACTTTTTTAATTTTATTCACTTATTGTTGGCTCTGCTGGGTCTTTGTTGCTGTGTGGGTCTTTCTCGAGTTGCAGAAAGCAGGGGCTGCTTTTCGTTGCAGTGTGTGGGCTGCTCATTAGGCGGCTTCCTTGTTGCAGAGCACAGACTCGAGGGTGCTCGGACTTCAGCAGTCGGGTTACGTGGGCTCAACAGTTGTGGCTCCTGGGCTCTAGGGCACAGGCTCAATAACTGTGTGCAACATGTGGGATCTTTCCCTATCAGGGGCTGAACTAGTGTCTCCTGCATCCTTTACCACTGAGCCACCAGTGAAGTCCCACAGTTCTGGCTTTTGAACCATGTAAATATTTTACATACTAAGTTAAATAAAAATGTATATAAAAAGTAAATGTATAACTGATTGCAAACAGAAAAAAATAAGCCAAACTATGTGTTAGATTGCTAATAATCAAAGAAAAGAATTCAGTCAAGTAGCTTTTAAATGCAGTGTTTTGACTATAAACTCTTAATGGTATATATTGTATAGACAAGAGAACCACTAAGTTTACACAGCAGGTGAGACGTTGTTAATGGTGTTTTAAGTTTACAATTCTTTCTGAGTGTAGAGCAACTGAATATACACGCTTACATTGGGAAACACATTTCTAACTATGGGAGAAAGAAGAAACAAATCACAGAAAAGAGACAGGTGAGGAAGAACCCTGTGGTGTTAGCTTGCTTACTGCAGGTATCTGTATGAACTCACTATTCAAATATAAATATAAAACAGGTTCAAGGAAATTTCCCAGAATGCAGTTAGAAGATTAAGATTAAGAAATTTAAAACATAAAAGGCAAATGAGAGGATGAACAGGAAGTACTTCATGAGGTATAATTACTTTAGCCAAGCAAAGCAGTGCCCCCGTAATATGTCTTATAATTACCAGCATGCTCCTCTTTACTCTCACTAAACTGTTCGCTCCCTGGGAGTGAGGATGAACCTCACCTTTCATAAAAACACAGTAATTTTTTTCATTGGCAACAGCATGAATGGACATGGAGAGTATTATGCTACGTGAAATAAATCAGACAAAGACAATTACTGTGTGTTATCACTTATATGTGCAATCTAAAATATGAAACTAATTTCTTTCATCAGTGTTTTATAGTTTTCTATGTATAGGTCTTTTGTTTCTTTAGGTAGATATACTCCTAAGTATTTTATTTTTTTTTGTTGCAGTGGTGAATGGTATTGTTTCCTTAATTTCTCTTTCTGTTTTCTCATTGTTAGTGTATAGAAATGCAAGGGATTTCTGTGTGTTAATGAATATAATAAAAAAGAAGCTGACAGATAATAGAGAACAAACTAGTAGCTACCAAAGGCATATGGGAGGGAATTAATTAAGAGGTACAAACTATTAGGTATACAATAAGCTACAATGAGGGGTACAAATACAAGCAATGCCTGTGTTTATCGCCTGGTCGTACAGAACGGGGTGATCAGAGTGGAGATTGCTCAGGTCACAGCACAAGTGCCCTGTTTCCAGGTATGTTCCGCTCTTGTCTTTCCACCATCATAGGTTCACCTACCTGGATTCCATCACTATTTTTAAAGCTCTTCAATAAAGTGTAAATTGTGGCTCAAATGGTAAAGAATCTACCTGCAATGTGGGAGAGCCAGGTTTGATCCCTAGGCCGATAAGATTCCCTGAAGGAGG